CATAACACGGCTGATTAAAAAAATAACGGCGAGTTCACACTTTTCAAAACTAGCCTGTCGTGAAGTTAGTAAAGCGCTAAACACTTTATCAAAGTTTTAATAATATCGGATGCGTGTGCAAGTTTTGAGAAGGCAATTTCCAGGGCAATGGCGTTTGAAGCAGACGATTTTTGCTCGCAGCGGAGATGGGCTTTTCGGGTTGGCCGGAGCGGGTCACGTGAATGGTGTGACGTCGCCGTGTCGTCAGCTGCATGATGCCGCTCAGGCAATTTTTTAAAAAAAGTTACGTTTTTGCATGGCACAAAACTTATCGCAAATTATTCTAAAATGTTTCATTATTATGTCAAAAATGATTGCCATTCCGTACATCCCCACAAAACTGAAGAAACAACGATTTTCTCACGTTCTCCATGCATTTCTGACCGCAGTTGGAACCTCCGGGGTTCGCCGCTAGTCGCCGAGAGACGGCGTTCTAGATTGCGCTACTCTGCTCCGAAGGAGCTATATAGTGCTCTAGTGAGTCCTTAAAATTCTACCGCTCCCTGAAAAGCCGTACGAGACTCAAACGGCGCCAAGCCTGAGCCGCGGCAGTGCTCCGACAAAAAAAGCTCCTTGTTTGTTGGAGCAACAGTTTCGCTGAATACGCCGGAAAAACGAAGTGGAATTGGTGTGAGAACAAAAAAATTAAAGACGTTTACGATTCTCTGTAATGCCGAAATAGAGCGCAGCTCTTGAGGAGGAGGAGGGGAAGGTACGGGGGGGGGGGGGAGGGTATGCCCCTCCTCCCCCTTGCCCTTTCCTCGCCTGCTGCCCTTTCGCTAAATTTCCCGCTAAATTTAACGAAACTTTTTCCCGCTAATTTTAGCGGGGAAATATTCCCGCAAAATTTTGCGGGAAATTTAACGAAACTTTTCCTGCTAAATGTAGCGGGAAAATTTAGCGAAAATTTTCCCCTCAATTTAGCGGGCAAACTGCATTGGTGTTGAGGTCACGTGAGGCAAATTTCCCCGCTAAACTTAGCGGAAAAAACTCCCCCGCCAATTTTCCCGCTAAATTTATCGGGACAAGTTTCCATAATGCACCGCGCGGTTGCGCCGACGCCGACGCCGACGCCGACGCCGCTCAACCCGGGAAACGGGCTCCTAAAAGCCGCGCTCTAAAACGGCATGAATACTGAACGCGGGAAAGTCATTTGGCAGTGCCTGTGGGACGGAATATTTGATTTATGTGCGCGTCTGTTTCTTCCCTAGTGTTTGAAGGCGCCTGGATCGCGATGTTGGATCCCTTTGGCACGAACATTTCGCCTATAATTAGGGATGTCGCGAACCACCCTAGGTTCGATTTCGGAAGGTTTCGATATTTGCGAAGCGAACTGAGGTTCGATTTCGAAAAATTTCGATATTTTCGTACCGACCGAGGTTCGATTTCGAAAAATTCGCAACTTTTGACCACAGCGGAGTTTCGAATTCGAAAATTTCGAAGCTTTCACGGTTTCTAAAATTTCGAATTCGAATATTTCGAATATTTTTTTACTTCAGGTTCGATGAATTCGAAGATTTCGAAATTTTTTGTAAAAAGAATTCGAAAACTTCGAACGCTTCGAATTTTTATAGACATGAAGTTCGAACAATTCGAAGATTTCGAATTTCTTTTTGCATAAAGTTCGAAAAGGTCGAAGGTTTCGATTCTCTTTTAACACTAAATTAAAAAAAAAAAAAGAAAAAAACTTCGAAGATCTTGAATTTCTTTCTAATCCAAGTTTTCAAAGTTCGAAGTCCGATTTTCAAGTTTTTCCACAGTTTCAGTTTCAAATAACGTTTTCACGACTCACTTGTTTTCACAAAATCAAGTTTAGAAAAGTTAGGGTGTGATATCTAGATTCTGCGAAGTTGGTCAGGCAATTAAACGAGACGACGAGTGTCCCGGATGGTGCTGGAATATTTGGCAGTGCAGAATTCTGACCGCCAGCCCCGGGGGGGGGGGTCTTTAACCTGCATCACGCAGTAGTGATTGCACGAACACACTGTTTTACGAGACTCATCCAGTTCGAAACGGCCAGGGGCGAGCAGGAGGTTGAGGCTCAGAAAAACCTTGAAGCGACCTGGCAAGCTAGCTCGCCACCCCTTGCACGCTGGTAGTAATCCGATTCCGTGAAGTTTATAATTGTCCTGGAGGTTTATTTTCTGGGACGGAGGAATCGCTTCGCAAAAAGCACAAAAGCCGACACAACTCGAGGTTGAGGAGCGTTCTACCATACAAGTGGCGTCGGAAGAGGAAAAACGGGGGGAAGGGGGGCTTCAGCCTCTTTCTCCCCCTTGCAGGTATTTCGGACTGTTAAAGAAAACAATACGGGGAAAGACGGCGTGGTCGAGCTTATTTTAATCTGAAATTATTTATGCATATGTATAGCTACTGTCGCTCTTCACTGCATAAAAGGTTGCGTAGATGGTCATTGTTAGAAACTCGTTGTCAGAAGGCACTGCTCGTCACATGCTTAATGGTTCGGAAGTTCAAAGCTGTCTTTTCGACCTAAACACCTGTGCCGATAGTAAAAAAAAAAAAAAAAAAAAAAAAAAAAAAGAATAAATGCGGAAATAAAACGCAGGAAAAAAAAAAAAAAAAAACTATCAAGAATTCGTGGGAAGTGTTCTATTCTTGCATATTCAGAGGTTCAGAACTTCGAAACAAGTTTCTTTTACCAAAATGTGTACAGGCTAAAAGAAACACGTCCCAGGAACGTGAAGCGAAAAAAAAATTTTTTTTCTTTTAATGACGTGCTGAACTTGAACACTATTAGAAATCTTCTCCCATGAGTTAATTTATTCCTTAACGTGAAAAAACAATAAATATATTATTTCGTATTCTGCAGATGGCAATGACATGTACTGTCTGTGGTGTTAATTTAAATGCGATACCTCAAACAACTTAGACGATAATAAATATCAAGTTTAGGTTATAATTGCATGCAGATACATGTTTGGACATTTCTTCGAAACTCACGTTGAATAACAATAATCACATCTTAAGACGGCACTTACCTAGGCTATACATAGATCATTCTTAAAAAAAGTATAACATCTCTACCATAAGTAGCTCCGGCTGCAGCGTGCTTCAAATCTGGCACAAACGATAATCGTCAAAAACCCGTCGTCCTTCCTCGCCCCTTCGGGGATTTATTTCTTTAAACCTAAGCATGCCAGAACATTGAAATAAACGACATTGTCTTTCGTAAGGAACGCAGCACCGCGTGTAAAAGTTCGAGAAAAAAAAATTACGAATGTACCCCACTACTTGAAATCAAATGAAACCGTCCGCCGGTCTTTCGAAGTTCGACGAACGTCGAACTTTTACCCTAAAAGGTCGAAGTTCGTCGAACTTCTGACTTTTCAGAAATCGAAAGTTCGAACTTTTCGAATTCTCTTGATAAATAAGGTCGAAAGTTCGAAAATCATCAAATATTATGGTCAGTCAAGTTCGAAAGTTCGACAAGCATCGAACCTTGCAGCGCAATAAGTTCGGAAGTTCGAAAAAGATAGAATTTTTTTAGCGTAATCAGTTCGACGGTTCGAAAAGCGTCGAACTTCTTAGCTTAACAAGTTCGAAAATTCGACCTCCGTCGAATTTTACGACATAGACAATTCGAAAAATCGAAATCTTTCGAACCTTTCGAACCGCTTGATTCGATCATCGAAACTTCAATTCGAAAAAAGTTCGCGGCATCCCTACCTATAATCATTTAGTGATCATATAATCACTCAATGGATGAGAACGGCAGGGAGGAGCTTTAAAGGGATACTGAAGCGAAACTTGAAATACACCTATTATGGTCAGAAATAGGTTCAATATGATCAATGATATTCATAAATCATAATCGCGCGTTTGTATTTTGAACGGATGGCTATATTTTTCACCCTGATGGGCCCGATTGGGCGCGCGCTCAAAAATCGGCCATCGGAGAGCGCGATGCGTCTTGGGATATTGGGCGCATTCGTGACGTCACTTGTGCCGGTCGGGAAAGGCTACGGCGTGAATGTTGTGGTTACGAGCGTTGCCACTTAGTGGCGCGTCGACGATTTACGACCTGTGACAACGTGGCCGTTTGAGATGTGCAAGGGCTGCACGCACGCTGCACCACGGGACCAGTGGGGTGAAGCTCCCGGCTACTTCCGTCCCGCCGCGTATACTTATGACGTTTGTCCGGTCCGGCGAACTGCTTCCGATTGCCGCGCTCCCAGCGGCTGTTGGCACTTGTTATTTAATTTCAAATAAAATTGATTCATATATCTAATGATGCGAAATAAAAGTGAAGTTGTTTTGAAGGTGTGATTGGCTTTGAAGCTTGTTATTGTAACTTACTCTTTCACTCTTTCAACGTGTCTGGGCAGGTGTTGTCTGGGCGCGCTTTCTCTCTCTCCGAACCCGCGCCTCTCGCCTCGAGATGCGCTGGCCGCTGGCGCCGGGAAGTCGGTGGACCGTTAGAACGCGCGAGGGACGCGAGCCGGCGAGTTGTTTCGCTTCTGGGAGTGCGTCGCGGCGCGAGATTCGTCCCGCGTTCGTGCGCGCGCGGCTATCTTTTCTTTTTCGTGGGAACTTGTTGTTGGTGTAATGTGGTCAAGCATGGATTTTCGTCATCAACACACCACCTGATGTGCCAAGTGGGGAAACAATGACTGCCGAAAGCCGGGATATCAATGGTTTCGAGTTCGAATGGACGTGCGGTACGCTCTTTTGGTCTTCTCTTGCTTAAGTTTCTGATTAGATGTTTGCAACAAAACCTAACTGCCGCAGTGGTAGTGAGTATTAATTGTTTGATTTTGGCAATAGCTACAATGGTTTCCAATCACAAAACCAAATCCTATCATTGTTCAGGATTGCTCTTCACTCGCCGCGAGAAATATGTCATTGGGCGCGTTAAGTTAACGCGCTCGAGCGCGCTCCAGCGGTCAGAGTGCACTCGAGCTAAACTAAACGATATCGTCTCACTTCCGGTGCACGGTGGCGGAGCGCGCTCCGCGAGCTCCGTCGTCGGAGGTGGTGCGCGAGAGCTCGAACAGGTCGGTTTCCGGTGAGATGACGGTGTTTCCGCTCTCGCGGTCAATCTCGCGACTCTCGTGTTCTACCGTTCCACAGTCGCGCTTGTTTGGATACTCGTGCTTTCGCTCCGGCATCGTGGGGAAAACAAACGAAAAGAAAACCGCAGGTGTAGGCAGGTAAGCATATCTCCTTCAAATACTTGTCGAAGTTCTTCATGTGCCTTACCATAATTTCAGGATCAGGCGAGCTGATGAATTCGGTACACGACCCAAGGATGGCATACAAGTCGGCGCGCTCGGCCCTTCTCAGCGCGGGAAACGCATACGGCATAAGTACGAACAAGAGTCGTAGCGCAAGTTCATTTGAAACGCTGTGTAATATCTCATGGTTCCATTGTTCTTCTAGGCATCGGGCAGCCGATAGAGTCAGTTCTTGTGACGATTCGTAAGTACTTGCTAATTTTCCTGGCCTGTGCAGTTTCAGTATTGGGTAGGCTGACGAGTTTCGTTATGCGAAAGTGTTTGCTCGTTGAAAAACAAAGTCCGCTGCGTGGTCGATTTTTATTATTATTGGGCAAGTGGAGGTGCTCGTCGCTATGCTTTCCTTTGTCGTGTCATGACTGTAGTCACAGATCCTTTCACATGTCTCATCTTTAATAGAAAATGTGCATTTGAACCGCCTACTTTAGGGTACAGCTAAGAAGATGACGAGCAAAGCCTAATAGTTGGCATAGGTGTGCGACCAGTCATTCTTGCTAAATGTGATAAACTTTCATGATAGAGGCATATCGTAATTTCAAGAATATGTTTTGCCACAAATATTCATTAATGAAAAACCTTTGAGCCAACATCTGTTTGAAGTTAAGGTTTCATTCTTGTGTATTGCAGCTGACTCCCTGGAGGTCGAGATTGGGAATTGCGATGGGGGTGAATGCAACTTCGCCAGCGACCACACTTACTTGAGTGAGTAGTAATTCTTTTATTCTCGCATCTTATAATCATCACATTTTATGCTAGTGCCAGTAATGTTTTTGTCATTGGCTTATGTTAACAAAATGAAAGGATGAAACAAATAAGAGAAAAGAGAGACACGCAGGCTTTGTTCCATACTTTTTTCATTTCGTTATATTAATCCAACACGCTCGTCAAAATGTCTATGGTGTCTGCATTGATGGTTTCCTACTTTCAGGTCAAGAGAGCCGCGATGACGGTGAACGCAGCTTTGCCAGCTACCACACTTACTTGGGTGAGTAGTGGTCCTTTTATTCTCGCATCTTCATTAAACTTTATGCTAGTGCCAGTAATGTTGGTGTCATTGACTTATGTTAACAAAATGATAGGATGAAACAAATACGGTCAAAGACAGACATGCAGGCTTTGTTCTGTACTTGTTCTATTTTCATTTTGTTATATTAATCCAACACACTCGTCAAAATGTCCAGGGTGTCTGCAGTGACGGTTTCACACTTTCAGATCAAGAGAACCGTAAAGAGAATATGGGGTGGGAGCACGCCGAGGTGCTTCTTTTGATCTCGAGTTATCAGCAGCACCAACTGGACTTCCATGATAGAAAGAAGAAAAGAAAAGACATCTGGCAGAAAATCAGTGATGACATGGCTACACACGGCCACTTAAGGACAGCGGCCGACTGCGAGACGAAGTTTAAAGGCCTTAAGAGAACATATAACAAGCATCGCCAACACAAGAGGAAAAGTGGCCGAGACAGGAAGGGTTGGCCTTTCTATAAGGAGATGGACGATTTGTTGTCATCAAGTGCGGAGTACCGGGCCCCTGTTCTTTCAAGCCATGCCGGTCAACCTTCTACCTCAAGCGCCCAGGTGTTGCCTGCATCTTCACCGTGCAGTGCACAAATTCACTCGACTGAAAGCACACGTTTCATTGAAGAGGACAGTGTAGGTGATCTGCCCCAAGAACGATGTGTACTAAATGCGAGGGCTGCTAAACAGCGCAGAAGACCGATAACGGTATTGCAAAATATCTTTGAAAACATGCAGGCCTGGCAAGATGAAGAGCGACAAAGATACAGGCAGCAACTAAAGATGCAACGAGCCAAGCTGCGGATGCTTAAACGCCTGACAGAGAGTTTGGGGTAGTGACTGCAGTTCAGAAAATTGCTCTCTGCAATGAAGTAGCGAGGTGTGTGGTGTGTTCAGTGATGAAAAGTAATGGAAGTTGTGACAAAAAACTGCTACATGAACAGAGCTTCTCGCTCTTCATTGTTGTACTTGTATATTTTTTTTTTACCTTGCATCTCGTTTTTGGGCAATATTTTAAATTCCTTTTTTTTAAACTGCATGTTCAAATGGGACTTTTAAGAATGTTTTTTTTTTTTTTTTTTTTTTTACCTTTTTTTCAGCAAGAAACTTGGTATTGTCACGCCCAAGAACAGCGCTGCTAAATACTGTAGGGTTACTTGTGGGCTTTCAGGGAGTTGCCAAAAAGTAGTTGAAGGCAGATAAGTGTTGACTGGTTCACGCATGCTCGTCGTGTGCGACTGAGTGGGACTGCGACTGCTTGCATCAGACTTTTCAAGCTGGCGGTGCCTGTGAATTTATGCCAAGAGTAGCGTAAGCAATGCACCGATTGTTTCCAAATGCAGGGGGAGGCATCTACGATTGTATCTACATGCCTCCCCTCTCAGTAAAAAACAGTCAGTGCCTTGCTAACACTGCCGTCGGCTTGGAAACTCGTAAGCGGTCGCAGTTCCACCCGGTCGTACTTGACGCATGTGTGAACCAGCTTAATTGCAGAGCATAAATCCAGATTTCCTGAAATGTTGCCTGTTTAGCTTTTTCACTTTATTAGTGTTAAAATCTCAGCTACTAGAATTATCATTCGCTAATGCTAGTAGCTGAGATCTCTTTTTGTCTAGTCGTTTGGACACTTCTGGGATGTTGCTTTTGTTCTCTGCCTATGTTTGTACTAGTCAAAAAGACTACTTTATTGAAGTCAAAGTATGGCCCTTTTCATTGCCTTGTAAGCATTAGTTCATGTACTTTTGCAGCTGCCAAACTCAACAAAAATGTGTTGGCCTGTAAGCATACCACCATGTCTTTCTCAGTTCACATTGTTTGCTAATCGTTCATTTACACAAGAGTATTGTTTTACAAATGAGTTTATTTTCCTCATATAAAACATTGTTGCTTCTAGGTATTCATTGAAATTCTAGTAGCCAAGATCTCTTTATCTGGTCGTTCAGACACTTCTGAAATCTTGCTCTTGTTCTCTGCCTATGTTTTTACTAGTCAAAAAGACAGCTTTATTGAAGTCAAAGTATGGCCCTTTTTATTGCATTGTAAGCATTAATTTATGTACTTTTGCAGCTGCAAAACTCAACAAAAATGTGTTGGCCTGTAAGCATACCACCATGTCTTACTCAGTTCACATTGTTTGCTAACCATTCATTGACACAACGAAAGTATTGTGTTACAAATGATTTTATTTTCCTCGCATAAAACATTGTTGCTTCAAAGTATTCATTGAATAAAAATTATTTCTGAAAGTGAGTCTCTCACCGGAACACCGATAGCATCAAGCCCTTCACGAAGCTACTGCATGTACAGAAAGTTCGCTATTGCAGTCTGCTTTTCCAATGCCCTGCTGTCTGCAGTGTGCGTCTGGTCATCATCACCAGAGGGCTCATCGTCGTCTCTCTCAATTTCTACATTGTCGACGACAAACGGCTCCTTAGACTGCAGGATAATGTTGTGGAGAACGCAGGATGCCAAGACATACTTGCTCATCATCTCTGTGGCTTCCATGTCGAGATATTTTAGCCTTCTGAATTTTCCTTTCAACTGAGCGAAGGCTCGCTCAATCACGGACCTTGCCGCACTCAGAGTCTCATTAAAGGTAACTTGCTCTTCAGACAAGTGACCATTGTTCCTGTAGGGTCGCATAAGCCCAAGACGAAGAGAGTATGCCGAATCGCCCAAGACGTGTAGGCTTAGTGGCAGGTTGTCAATGATCTCGTCAAGGCCAGAGATGCTGAACACCCTGGCATCATGCATCCTTCCTGGTGAGCCTACATGCACGTGAGTAAACACCATCTCACTGTTACAACACCCCTGTAGAATGATGGAGTGAAATTCCTTTCTGTTGTAGTATGCGTCTTGCTCTTCTTCGAGGGCTTTGATTGCAATATGACAGCCATCTACTGCTCCAACCACACCGGGAAAACGCCACTTTCGAGTAAAAGCACGAGATACACGCTGAAGCTGCGTAGGCCATCGGATAAAGTCGACTGCTAAATTTGCCCATGTCTCAATCATCTGGTTCGCAACATAAAATAGTACGCCTTTGTTTACGCCAAACCTGTCTGCCACCCCGCGGAAAGATTCTTGGTTTCCGAGCAGCCACAGGGTCATGAGGACTTTTGTTTCAACCGGAATGCGTGCAGTCCTCTGCGTGAGCATTTGCTGTTGTGTGATCTTCAAAAGCAGCTGCAAACAAACCGTTGGTATGGTGGATCAATGCAGCCACTAGAGGCTCGGCTGGTGAGGCACATGTAATCAGCTAAAAAATGGGTACTTGTGAGCAATTTAATGGAACGCTGCAAGACAGTTTAATTGACAACTTGCATGATAAATCTTTTGCAGTAAAGCTCTGCCAAGGAGAAGTAGTTGTGATGGCAAATTGTATGTGCTTCAGCGAGAAACAGATGCACAGTATACAACGATGATTATTTTAATTACTACTGTTGAATTATCGTTGTCCAATTTACTTTTGAATGCTGTTTGCCGAAAACTGACGAGCGAACCTCCACAGACGTGAGAAGGCAAATTATTTACCTCAAACTTGCTGCGATTCATCCTGAAGTGCTCTTTGAATTGCTGGTCAGGGTAGCGAGGTACGATCTTCGAGACGTAATCCTCGATCCCACGGATCCTCCCTTCGTCGGGCTCTCTGCAGGCTGCATATTGGAAACAGCCGTCATTCTTTAAAGCTTACGGGAATTCAGAAGAGGTTCGGCGTACCTTTAATCGCCGTGCCTACAGCGCGCAGCACATATTCAAGCTCTTTCTGTTGCCGCCGTCTCCTCGCACCTATTGCGTCGAAATCATCGTCGTCTAACAAAAATTCGATGAGCTTCGACCTGACGGGAGCCATGTTCAAGAAAGCGCGCGCTAGAAAGCCGGAAGCGGAAACGGTAAAATTGGGCGTCAGATGTCGCCTCGGTACCAAAGTGCGCCGTTAAGCTACGCTCCGAACCCGCGCGCTCGAGCGCAGATGTCCGGAGTCTGGAGCTCACTAACTTAACGCGCCCATTGTCAAATTACTGGAGACTTCTATGTAGACTTTTTCATACCAAGATCGAGCACATATGCTCACTTTAAAAGATGGCAAACTTTTTGCTGTCAGCTGTTTATTTGGCACTGTTGTCAGCGATTAACGCGTCTGTTCGCGAGGAGTGAAAATATGAGCCTAAATATTTTTCGATTAACTGAGGATGAGCGTTAGAGCGATCCGCTCTGGTTTCCCGTTTCGTTTAGCAGTGACTCACTCCTAAATTTAAGTCATAATATTAAAAACGAATGGGCAGGTTCTCGATGAAGACTCAATACCAAAGAGCTGAGCTGTTTTTCTTGGCACTCATTGCTTAGTTTCCTTTAGTTGCAATTAAGACACCGTCGTCGGTCTTTACTTATATGCTTACTTATATAATCAAATTTGCAAGGACGCATATCATCACCTTCGTCGCACGTAACCTTAACGTTTTATCCTGTTTTGTTGTTCATTTCTTTGTTTCTCGTGTGCAAAACAGTGAGAAATTTCGTCTGTATTTTCTACTGTCTGTTGAATAAAAATGAACGCAAAAGGACAAGCATTGCATATTTTTTGTGTATGTGTCACTTTCGTTGCTTTGCTAGGTTTCTGCTGCTTTGCTGCTGGTCTCGCTTTTCAGTGCTGGCTTGTGTGCGTTTCAACGCACATTAACCAGCATTGAAATGCGAAAACCAGCCGCAAAGCAGCAGAAGCCTAGCAAAGCAACGCGCGAACCGAGCAAAAAAAAAAAAGCTACAATATATATATTTTAACTCTAGGTGGCGCAAGCTACCGCCCATCCATCCAAACTCAATGGCGCTGCCGTGCAGTTTCGGTTTTGGTTTCGCTGTGCCGCCATGTTGATTTTAGTACAGCCACCAGATACCAGGGGATTCAAATGGCGCTGCGGCCTCCCAGGGTTTTCCAACTTGCGTTCCATGGGCGGTATAGGAAGTTGCACTCCTCTGACGGGACCACGGCAAGTCGGCAACCACGGCAGCACTGACAAAAGCAGCTCTGAGGCCGGATTCTCAAAGACGAAAAAAGTGCGTACGACAAATTTGAGAGAAAACCCGTGCTCTCGAAACGAAATTGTCGTAACCTTTGCGCAGGTTACGACAGAATCCTACGACAGCTCCGAAGCTGTCTTACGCACTTTTTACGATCAAATCAACAAGGCCGACAGCGTCGCTCAGTTACTTGGTATCGGCCACCAACGGACATTTATTTTTCTTCGTGCTCTTCTCGTGCGTCCCGACTTCAACCAGCAAGAAAAAAGGAAGGAGTACTTAAAACAGACCACGACGATCAAGAACGCAGGATCCACAAACACACGAGAAGAGCTACAACAGCCACGATTCTGCCGACCGAGCGAGCTCGGCAGAATATAGTAGGCCTAGCAGCAACATCGACTCGGCGCACCGTTGCTCCGGCGGTCCTTGGCCAAGACCGTCTGTCCATGACCGGCTGGCCTGCTGAATGGAATATGCCCGCGCGACCCTTGTGGACCCTTACCGGATGAGTAGTTTGATCCCTGAACTAAATTTCAGAGGTCAATATTTTCCCCTTGTCATCTCGATCTCCTTGTTTTCCGAGACAGCGGTGACGAAAGCTGTCGTCGAAAAGGGACTCTCATTGATTCTATCTCCTTGTTTTGTGTGATATAGAGCTCAAATAAACGCCATACGGATTACCTTGGCAACTCGGTATGTACACTCTGTTATTAGTATGCCATTTTTATTCTGACTCGACGCAGTTCGGTGGAGCTACGCGATGTCGGTCTAACCTTTCTTTGCCGAGTGTCATGTCAGTATCGAGTTGCAATCGTAAAAGATCGGTCCAGAAGCGCTTACCGAAACGCGGTCTAACAGAGCGAATCCAGCACTTCGATCAAACGCGCGTGTCCGCTCCGAGTGTGAAGAGGTATTTGGCATTTGCGTGGCTCTTGCTGACACCCTCGTAGTTCAAACATATCCTTTTTAACGTCGGCTTGCAGCTCGCGACTCGCAGCAACTAATACCGGCCGTGCCAGAAGCATGCTCGGGCCGTGTCGTGCAAAGAGCCGCAACCCGCAACGAGAACGAGCTCACTGTGGCCAACTACACTTTGGCCTTCTCCGCCAAGGCTTTGCGAACGCGTTCAGGCCTAGGCGAATTCTGCCGGCACGCCGTATTGCCGCAGAAAGGCGCTGCTATTTTGGCACAAGTGATGTCACGAGAACTTCCCCCCATCCACCAGATGAGAATTTGAAATCGTTTAATTATGTTTAAAATTAGTTCTCCTGTGTTTTACAGCGCAATATTTATATTTCCGAGGTGGTGCCTGTCCCTAGCCCATATTTATGCAACAAGATCGGCGCTAAAATTTCGTTTCACTACCCCTTTAAGTACCCCGCCTCCAGCACCAGCTCCCAACCGTCGATAAGGCTTTTATTTCGCGAGCCTCGAGCGTGCAGCCAAATCGCAGCGAAGGGCAAGGAATACGCGCTGGAGGTCGGCCGTTCACATGAGTCGGTGTTGTAGCTGGGGGATGGCGAGTACAGCCTTGTCCTGCCGTGTGTGTTTCTTAATCGCTGTCCCCGTTTTTCTAGCTGTTTCTCGCCATCATGGCGAGAAACAGCTAGAAAAACCGCCACTGCCAAAGTCTGCAGTGGCGCCGCCGCCACTGCAGACTTTGGCAGTGGCGGCGGCTGACTGAACATCGCTTCTAAAAATCTGCGCTACCATTGCAGGCTGCCCCTGATACCACACGCAGCCGGAACACGCGGTCCTCAAGCATCTTCATCGAGTGCGATCAACCACAAGCAAAGCCAGCGCGTAAACAACTACGTGCAAGTCATCTTCGACGGAGCGTGGGAAACTGCTACTGGCCAGTTGGACTGTCACCCTAGCGACACCTAGCTACAAAGGAGGAGGCGCTACACGTTCTTTCGGCACTTTGGCAGTGGCGGCGGCTGACTGAACATCGCTTCTAAAAATCTGCGCTACCATTGCAGGTTGGTTATCGTTGCTTACACTTTTTATCCACTGTGTATTACTGTCGTCGCTGCTGCCAAGCCCTTTTTGTTGTCCGAATTTTTATTGTTGAGCCCTCTACCTTCACTGTCACCCTGCTTTTGTTGTGCGAATTTTTATTTTTGAGCATTCTTTTCGCCATGACCAAGGACATAACTAAATTGCTTGCTGAACTTAAAGATGATCTAAAAAAAGAACACAAACTGTTTCGAGAAACGTTTGAACGCGATTTCAGGACGGAATTTCGTACCGTTCAGTCGGAACTTCAGGGCATAAAGGCTAGCATGGACTTCATAAACAAGGATTATGAAGACATGAAAGCAAAGTTGAAAGCAGCCGAGGAAGCGAGCTCCGCTTTGGAAAAAAAAACTGTCGGTCTTCAAGAAAAGTATGACGTCATGCTCAAGACCGCTCGTGAAACTGAACTGAGACTCATTCAATGCGAGCAGTACTCCCGTAATCGAAACCTGGAAATAAAGGGGATTCCACGAGTTGAAAACGAGGACGTTATGAATCTAATCAGTACTATCGGCGAACTGGTGGGCGAGAACATTGCAGTTTCAGACATAGACATATGTCACCGAGTGCCAACCAGAGACCCTGGAAAGAGTAACTTGATCGTGCAGTTTCAACACAGGCACACGCGTGACCTGATTCTTGAAAAGGCAAAGAAAAAACGAATCACTGCTACAGATCTTGGCTTTGATACAGCCGCGCCTGTGTTTGTGAATGAACACTTATGCCCCCCTCTTAAACGGCTACTGGGAATGACCCAGGCTAAAAAGCGAGAGTGCCAATGGCGATATGTCTGGGTTCGGAACTGCAAAATCCTGGCACGAAAATCTGATGACGCTCCCGTTGTTACTATCACTCATGAGGATGACCTTGCTAAAATATGTTAGTTGATTTCTAAAACTAGTACTTTTTTTTTTTCCTTATGAACTATCACGAATTAGTTCTACCAACTGATATTGCAAGTTGTTGTGGTACAAAGGATATCGCTGTTTTTCATCTAAATACCCGCTCCGTAAAAAACAAAGTTGATGACATTGTCACTCTTTTTGAGATGTGTAAAGTTACTTTTGACGTTATAATGTTTTCTGAAACTTGGTGTCAGTCTGACCAGGATATGCTAATCTTACCAGGCTATAATAATTTTTCTCTTAATAGAAGTGAACGCAGAGGGGGTGGTGTTTCAATCATGGTAAACCGGGAGTTTCAGTGTGAAAAGCTGCTTT